AGAAGGACCACAAAGCACCACTATGCGAGATGGCAGAAACAGTACAATACATGATACCAACAACAAAAGCACAACCCAAGATGGAGCCAAGATTCTTCAAAGGAATCTGGCTTGGCAGGGATACAATGACTGGAGAGTCAATAGTCGGCATCCCTGGCAAGGTCATCAAGGCAAGAACAATTCGAAGACAGATCATGCCAGACAAGTACGACAAGCAACTATTGGATACCATTAACGTGTATCCAAGGAACTTGCCAACAACACCAATGGCAATTCCGCCACAATTGCTTCTACCAGCTGACAACACCACAAGCAGACAAGCGATCGGCACACAAGCTGACATTACAGTGGAAGATACAAGCACACAGACAGTACAAGAGACACCACTGGCACTACCAACACAAGCAATGCATCATCAGCCAATGGATACGACAATGGCAACATCACCATTGGCAACTTCACCAACAACAATGACAAGACCACCACTGCCATTACCACCAGCAAGCAAGCGACAACACGAGGAGCCTACAGGTGAAGCACAATCCAAACAATCAAGGACAGCACAGTCCTCAACAGCAGCAAACAGAGGACAAGACGAAGAACAACCAAAAGCAAAGATGAGAATACAAGCAGTGACGATTACCACAAAGAAAGGTGACAAGATCACCACAGCATCCTGTGAAGATGAACAAGAAGCAGAAGTGGAAAGGATGCTACAAGAACCCTTCGTCTACGACAACGAAGGTCTTGATCCATTGAAAGTACAACAAGGAATGAAGAAAGAAGCACAATCGATGAAGACACAAGGAGTGTTCACAGAGATGAACTACAATGATGTCCCAGAAGAACACAAGAACAAGATCATAGAATCCAAGTGGGTCAACAAACCCAAACAAGAGGAAGTGAGATGTCGCATAGTAGCAAAAGGTTTCCTGGAAACAATCCAAGACCTTGACAACATCTATGCGAGCACACCGATCTTTGGGATCTTGCGCATCCTACTGACAATGGCACAGCACAACCACTGGACGATACAAGCAGGAGACGTGTCAACAGCATTCCTACATGCACCAGCAGCGACAGACAATCTTTACATGTGGCCACCGCCAGAACTATACCCAAGTGGTCACAACACAACCACAGTGTGGAAGCTCAACAAAGCAATCTATGGACTACGATCAAGTCCAAAATCTTGGCAAGATCACTTTGCACGAGTCCTGCAACAATTGGGACTGTCTCGACTCACAAGTGAACCCAACGTGTACAGGAACAATGAACAGACAATGTTTGTGATGGTCTATGTGGATGACCTACTATTCCTTGGACAACAACAAGAAGTCGACAAGACTTTCAAGGAAGTACAAAAGCATGTACTACTACGACCAACCGGCACATTGGGAATTGGCCAGACAATCCAATTCCTTGGCAGAGACATCCACAACAATGGAGACTTCTTTGAGGCGAGCCTCAAACCAGAATACATCACTACATTGCTGCAGGAAACAATGATGGAAGCAAGCAATCCAGCATCAACTCCAGGGACGGCAACCCTGAAACAATCCACAAACGATGATGCACCTCTAGATGCACAAGAACATGCAGACTACAGGAGAGCAGTAGGAAAGCTACAATGGCTGACCTACACAAGACCAGACATCAGCTTTGCGACAAAAGAACTAGCGCGAGATCTACAACAACCAACGCAACAAAGCCTGCGCAAAGTGAAACACCTCCTACAATACCTCAGGGGAACACAGCACTACAAGATGATCCTGAGGACAACACATACACCACAGACAAAGGAACCCATCGACCTCAACATTTATGTCAATGCGGACTGGGCAGGATGCCCAAGCACAAGAAAATCAACAAGTGGATTCATCGTGACAATGATGGGATCCGTGGTACAATTTGGAAGCAGAACACAAGCAGTAGTAGCACTATCATCAGCAGAGTCAGAACTATATGCAATAGGAACAGGAGCACAAGAAGGACTACATATAGCAAACTTCATCAAGGAAGCCACAACAACAAAGGTGAACATTCGCATACACACAGACAGCACAAGCGGCAAAAGCATTGCAACAAGAATTGGCTCGTCAAAGAAAGCAAAGCACATTGACCTGAAGTACCTCTTCGTACAACAACTGGTACAGAGCGGGGGTACTGTCAATACACAAGATCAGCACACACGACAACCCAGCAGACACACTGACAAAGTATGTCCCGGCAGAGGTGCTTAACAAACATCTCTACATGGCGGGCATTCAATGCCCACAACACCACAACTGAACTGCGATCGTACAAACAGTTTCACAACCATGGCAGCATCCACGCGTGTACAATACATACACGGCGGCATCGAGCCATGGCACACTACTTTAGCTACTATGTGCATACTATGTCATAGACAATATGTACTACAAGATTTCAGTCTCACAATGGATCCAATCTTTCTGTCGTCGACTCGTAGAACAATTTGATGAACAATGTGTTTGCTCCATCGTAGTGTTGATGTACAACTGCACGGTGCTATACAATGCACCTTGGATCAAAGGCCTTGAGCCCAGCCTAGCTGAAGAGGAAAACAATACAGAGACGTGCACAAACAAACGACAAACAAACAGCTGCTGAATTTTACATCCCTCCCTCCCTCCCTCCCTCCCTCCCTCCCTCTAAAGATATATATACTGTATGCCCATGCCCATGCACATGCAGACATTGGGGTATACCGGTACACAAAATGTATATGTATATGCATGTGTGAAGCCAACATCATAATGTACATATATATATATATGTGTGTGTGTAAGATTTTTGGGCTGATCTAGACACTGCCGTACCTGTCTCCTTTCAATCGCGTGCTAGTGGGTGGTGCGGACATTCCGCAGGTAGCATGTGCAGCTTCCTAGTCACGACTTGGGTCATATCAAACTTTACTGCCCGTCCCTTGGTATGTGCAGCTCCTTCCCTCTTCGGGTGGTGCCAAGTTTGCTCACGAGGCTGTCAATTTCTTCTTGCGGCCTCGAGGGCCTGATGGCATTGGACTTAGTCTAGCTGAAACTGGTTCCATGGAATGACGCCATTGTGAGGAAGCCATCACTGATTTCTCAAGTTAATTCATCGTCGGCGGATTCATCATCATTTGGACGTATATAGTTATATATTTAATTAGCGTGAGTTTGCTTCTAATCCAGCGGAAAACAGGCAACTTTAAACATGTATATAACCCACTTCTAGATTTTTGCAGATCCGAGCTCGAGAAGGGTCGACCGTGACAAACATTCCTCAGATTTTTCCAGGAACACCCTGAAGGTCTTGCAGGGTCCACAGTACCTGTGATCCTGTTCTACATTACTGCTCTTTCCATTTAATCACAACTTGTCAGAGTTTTTGACAACCTTACATGATCATGCCTTTTCCTTTCCAAGCTCACTATCAAAGTGTGAGTGAAAGCCTTGCGTCAACCTGCTTTGTGTACTGTATTCTTTTTTACAGGTCAGCGTTGCTGACCTTGCCTGGTTGAACTGCAACAAGCTCCAGCAACAGAATCAGAAAAGACTCCCAACTACAGGCAACAAGCCTAAATACAATTTTTCAAAGGAAGCTTAGCTTCTTAATTGGTTTGTGAACCCCAGATCAAGGATGAACAAGGTACGATAAGATACGGCATAATGAGATGGCGGAGATAGATAGATAGATAGAGAGATAGACAGAGAGAGAGAGAGAGAGAGAGACGAGAGAGACTAGCTAGCGCAAAAAAATTGCTGCTGACTCACTACTTAGTCCAGCTAGCTGAGACTTGCGCGTGAAGTCTCAGCCTACGCGCTCAAGAATCTTTGCTCCATGCAACCACCCCTGCAAAATGCTTTCTAGGTCATTCGCTCGGTATTTTCCTTGCTAGTTATGTAGGTTTACGGAACCAAGACCTGGTTCCAAGAGAAAAACAGCAAGAAAGCAAGATGTCTTCAAAACTCTGATCAAACTCAATCCCTCCGTTGCAGTGTGAAATCAATCCTGTGCATTTGGTGCAAGTCAATACGATCAATTTGGATGCCTGCATAATCACAGATCGGACGCAGGGAACCAACCACTTGCAATAAAGGGGCAGGTTATATACCAGTCTTGGAAAGGCATCCAACTGCGATCTTGCATTTCAACTTTCTTAAACAGGTTTGATACGATATATGGTGCGCTCAGACTATGAGAAACATGAGCAATCATAAGGCTAGAAGCCTGTGAGTCTTGCTATAGTTGCAGCATGGTTAAAGTCTCTGGTGTAGGAATCGCAGATCGTCCGACACTGCCTCGTAGTTTGCCAACAGCATTTGGATCTGAACAGCTATTGTAAGGTCCATCCTCGGTTAGTCAAGTCAGTCAACTTCTGGGAACCTCAGAATCCCACGGGGTCAGTTGTTGGTCGGTTAGTCAGGCAGTGACTGAGTGGGCCTTGTCAGATCACTGACGCCAAGATCTGTTGACCCTTTGTTGTACGCACACAAGCATGAAGGAATTTGCCTTTTGTAACATGAAGAGGCATTCTATCAAAATCATGAGAGCTTGCAATGCCAGAGACTGCGTGAGACATGGCCGGCTACCAGGCACACATGCAGTGCAGAAGGGCCCGTTCACTTTTGTGCACAATTTGCTCCACATGCTGGGGCCCCGGGAAAGTGCGTTGAATGATCAGCTGAACATCTACATACATACATACATACCTACCTACATACCTACCTACATACCTACATACCTACATACCTACATACCTACATACGTACATACGCACATACGTACATACATACCTACTTACATACCTACATACCTACATACGTACATACGTACATACCTATATATATACATACATACATACCTACCTACCTACATACCAACATCTACATACATACCTACCTACCTACCTACATACCTACATATGTACCTACATATATACCTACACGTATACCTACATACGTACATACGTACATACCTACCTACCTACCTACATACCAAATGCCTACATCCCTACATACATACGTACATACGTACATACATACCTACCTACCTACCTACCTGCATACCTACATACCTACATACCTACATACGTACATACATACATACCTACCTACATACATACCTACCTACATACATACCTACATACCTACATACGTACATACGTACATACATACATACCTACCTACCTACCTACATACCTACATACGTACATACGTACATACGTACATACATACCTACATACCTACATACCTACCTACCTACATACCTACATACGTACGTACGTACATACCTACATACATACATACATACCTACCTACCTACATACCTACCTACATACCTACATACCTACGTACATACGTACATACGTACATACATACATACCTACCTACCTACATACGTACATACGTACATACGTACATACATACATACCTACCTACATACCTACCTACCTACATACCTACATACCTACATACGTACATACGTACATACCTACCTACCTACATACCTACATACCTACATACGTACATACGTACATACATACATACCTACCCACCTACATACCTACATACCTACATACGTACATACGTACATACCTACATACATACATACCTACCTACATACCTACCTACATACCTACATACCTACATTCCTACATACGTACATACATACATACATAATAACATGATTGATATATATATATATGTAAACAAGACTATAGTTATACATGCTTCTTCTTGTGCTGTCAGGACTGGGGAGCGAGTATTTCAGCCCTTTGTTGATGGGGAGGAGGGAAGGGTTTTCGAGTGTTGTCATTTGCCGTTGTGGTTGCCTGAGTTTGCCCACATCACCCGATGGAGGCAGTAGCTGTTTACAACGGTGAGATCTATAATTCCAGACAAGTGCCCTTTGAGCTTGAAGGCATCAGCGTCAAACAGACCAGCAGACCACGTGTAGGTACCCTCTGGCTTTTCTCAGCGGCATTCATATCGATCAGACGGTGAGTCTGGCTCCTTGTTATACTCGTGAAGCAGAATATCCAACGACCTTCCTTGACCTAAACAGACAATACTATATAATATATATATATATATAACTGCAAGGTGCTTGCTGCCTTGCTATCGTCATCATGGCGCTAGCTTCCCCAAGATTCTTGATGGAGTGCGGGCCTCGTCGCAAGGGGAAGTGCGACATGATGGAAAGACAGACAGCAGAGGAAACAGTTTTTGCTGCACTTTCAGTGCTTGTGGCTTATGGTGTTTGCTGCTTGTGCACCAGGAGTGGGCTCTTGTGCTGGTGGACTTCTCTGCCATGGTTTGGGCCTCTCATCAGACACAAGTACTATGGACACATGTGGGTGTGTATTTCAATCGGGGCACCCTCCACCAATGGGTTGTGGTGAATGTCCTTCTTCCAGGGAGTCCTACGGGGGTCTCCCTATTCCCATACACACCCACGTCTAGAGGATTCTGACCTCCTGGCCGATTGAGTCTTGCGTCATCCTGAGCAGCGATCAGCAACGATTGCTCTTGAGGAGGCGATTGTGAGTACTGACGTGTTTGGGACAAAACCTTTGTGGTGGATGCCTCATCATCCTTGTCGATTGACATCAGAACGCTGAAGCACTTCGCAAAGTGCTGCTGCAGCTGTTGAGCTATTGTAGTTCTTTGTTGGAAACTCTTCATGCTAAGGTACTCTTGGCACAAAGGGTTTCATGCTGCCAGCTACAAATCGGCACAAAACCCAGTGTTCAGAATTAATGTTTGGAGGCTGCGATGCGTATAAAGTATAAAGTATAGAGCTGTTCTTTACAGCATCCTGGACTGCAGGCGCTTCTGGGGCTTGGAATCCCTGAGCGACACGTCCAAGCTGCAGCTCCAAATCAGGCTTCATCCTCAGGCTGTTTTGAGCCCTTGCTTTTCTTGTGCAGCTTGGCGAATTGTGTTTTGTTTCTGTTACCCGGCAGAATAAGGTGCTGAGGCTGCAATTGTCCTTTGCGCACGATGAGGTTGTTCAAGTAAATGAAGTTGCCCGCTATTCGGTGCATGAGTTTGACCTTCGCCAATTCAAGACTTCCACCGAAGATTGGCAGATGGCCTTCCGACGGGCGGTTTGGAAACGCATTGCAGCATCCAATCATCCTGTTTTTGTTGGCTTGAGCAGCGGCTACGACTCTGGAGCCTTGCACTTGGCCTTGGAATCCGAAGCCCCCGATCATTCAGCAACCTACTTTACTGTTGCTGCTGAAGAGCTTCCACAAATAATCAAGCAAAGACTGGCAGTGCACAACAAGTCTGTTGCTCGGGCTTTCAAGATCAGTTTATCTCTTCAAGACTTCCACTCTGAGACTTCCTGGCTGCATTCATTTTCGGAGCCCTCGAAATATGGGCGGTCAAACTGGGCGGGGGGCTCGGTGCAGGAGGATGGGGCAGCAGCCGGCCTGTCTTCCATCTTCAGGCTGTGCAGGAGTGCAGGTATCCTTGTCTACATCTCAGGTGCAGGTGCAGACGAGATCATTTCAGATTACGGTTTTTCCGGAAAGAAATTCTTTCCTCACAGTTCCTTTGGCGGTCAATTCCCAGAAGATTTGTCTTCGCTTTTTCCATGGCAATCTGTCTTTCTTGGAACGCAACGTGACTACCTTATGAAAGAAGAAGTTGTTGCTGGTAGTCACGGACTTGAAGCCAGGTATCCGTTTCTTGACCGAGCGGTCGTTCAAGAGTTCTTGTGGCTGTCGCACAACGTCAAGAATGAAATATACAAACGACCAGTGCATGACTTCTTAGCTGCTGCTAACTATCCGTTTGATGTGGGCAACAAAGATGGCTTTGCTGCGGGCCGCAACCTCAAACTCTTTCATGCCAGCTCTATCTCAATTTTATATGACTCGATTGCTCAAATACAGAGTGCCACTGCAAGCTTGGAGAGCATTTCAGCACCGTCTTGTGTCAGCGGACCCCGCCGCAGCACATGGCAAGAAGCTAGATCTCAGATGGTGACTTTTCTCTCGACTCCCAGCGATAACATGGATGTTATTGAGCACCTTGGTGTGTCGCTTCTAAGCCTGGCAGGAGAAATGGCAACCTCAGAGGACATGGCCGAAGATTGTCCTTTGGGAAGGGTTTGCTTGCAGCTTTTGATGCTGCTACTTGCCGAGCCTGGCGCACGCTCTTTCTTTCTACAAACTGGTGCCGATGACTTTTTGCAGGTATTGGATCCATCATGGTTGCAGTGGTCTACCATTGTGGTGTCTGGCTGGCCGCTTTTTGAATTATTTTACCGCATCTCTCAGGATGCCACTACTGCCACTGCTGGAAAGGCCGCCTCTGTCAGTCTTACTCTCAGCGACTGGTTGCCACTCGCAGGGTGTCGTGGGGCTACGACGAAGGAAGAGGGATTAGATTCTGTGCTGGCGGCAACCTTGACAATGGCTCAGTTGCCGGAAGTTGGTGCGCAATCCCCAGCCTTGCAAGCAATTCAACGCCATCTTGCTGCCTTCTGGGATGCCCAAGCAATTCCCAACAAGATCCATCAAATTCTGAATAGTGCACGAATGTGCGAAGTCTTTGCAGGGATGATGCGCTTGAGTCAGCCTTACTACCGCGTAAACTTGGCACATGCTTGGCACCTACTGTAAGACCGAGCCTGGATGTGAAGCAGAGCACTGCTAACCTGGACTCGAAGCTGCTTCCGGTAACCTGACATCCGTGTCAGTGCCCCAGCCAAGCTAATTCGCAGACTTATTGCATGTATACTATAACATGTACTGTAACCTTTTTCTAGCATTGTAAAACCGCAGCACATAATATTGCATCCAGGATTTGCTTCGTCGATTCGAGAAGCACGACCAAGTCACAAGAGAAAGTCGCTTCTGGGACTGCCATTGGCAGCGAAGTTGCTTACAAACCATGTTGAAGGACTACATATATATTATATACACGCAACTTACGTACAGTAGCTATATAACCTCTTTGAGAGACAAACATACATGACCTTGCATGCACTCTTAGCAGCACCAGTTTCTGGGGCGTTATGCCGCTTCATTCCTTAGCCATGATTGATTGTAAAAGCAATGTTAATGATGCTGCCGCTGTAGCAAAGGCCGAGAATCACCGACTGCCGTCGCCTTCATTCCATTGTTGAAGGCGATGCCTGAGTCTATTCAAGTCAGCTGAGGTTCCAGTATTCATGCGCAATAACAAAAACTGTAATATACATAGTTCCTGGCTGTTTGCTGCACGTGAACCAGACCTTTACACCCAGAAACACACTCACCGGTGTACACATATCTGAACATGCGACCATTGTTGTGAAACGCATTGAACAGCGGTATGCGGTATGCCTATCACCAGTGTACTGCTCTCATGTTGCAGCATCCTACAAGCACGCACACGCAAAGACATTTTTGAGCCTGAGGTCATGCTTGAGGGTTGTAAATGCCATCAGAGCTTTGGAAGGTTGCATGATTTTGTTGCGTGACTCCATAACATGGGGAACCGAACCTACCAACTTTCGCAGGCGCATTGCACGCGCGGAAAGGCCGGCATCGTGCATTTGCAGTCATGAGATTCAGCAGTGTGATGAATTGCTTGCGTGAACATGCGGGGTAGCGGTGTAAAGTAGCATTGCCAAGTGTACTGCATGAATTTTACGATGTGCTACTGATTGCCCGAATCATGCAGTCTTTGGCCCGAAGGGCAAAGTACTAAGTCCAAGGCCTTTATCCATAAAGGGCACGGTGGCTTAATGGTCACCCGGTGGCTCCGTTTCATATGTGCTGTTCGCCTTGGTGCTGCTAGCAATGTGCACCGAGTTCACCTAGACATAAGTCCAGCAGGACACGTCCTGCCTGCGAAGTCCAGATTGCTTAGAAAGGATCAAGGGTCTGCAGGACATTCAGCAGGATACCTAGGCCTGGGCCCTGATGCCCTTGTTGACTTGGCACCTGCTTTTTCACCTCCAGCTTTGGGAGAGCCCCCAGACAGCAGACCAGTCAAAGAGAGAGTTCAGGTGGCTCTGGGAACAGCCCCAGCGGCACAGACCAGCAAGCAGAAAGCTAGAAACACACAAGCGGCTACAAGCTCAAAGCAATCTGAGAGCACGCAGCAAAGTGCGAGTGCAAAGCAGAGTGCAAACACACAACAAAGTGGAAGCACACAGCAGACTGGAAGCACACAGCAGGCTGGAGGCGAACAGCAGACTGGAAGCGCACAGCAGAATGTGTCCAATCTGCCGGCGTTGGGTAGCTTTGACAATGGTGTGAATGAGTCCACAGCTGATGAAGCCACCACTGAACCTGAAGCTGCAAGCACAACCGACGAGGGAGATGGTGAGGCTGCTACCACACAAGAAGCAGCTGGCACCACAGAAGAGGCTGCGAGCGGTGAGGACGATGCGGAAAACGAGCAAGTTGAAGCTGAAAGCACAACAGGCCCAGGCTCCGCCGAGTCAAAACCAAACTCCGAAAAGTCGGATGCAGATGCCGACAGTCAAGGTCGATCGACAACTTCAGAGAAAGAAGGAGACAGAGGAGAAGAAGACGAAAAAGAAGAAGATGATGATGATGATGACCAGGAAGATAAAGGTGCTAATGTCATGACGACCAAGGAAGCGAACGAAGATGATGCGAAGACATCCTCTGAACCAGCAGTGAAAAGGACTGACACATCTGACTCAGAGGCAGAATCGACTTCGACTGCCCCCAGTGTCGAACCTGAGTCGACTTCGACTTCCCCTAGTGCCGAACCTGAGTCGACTTCGACTTCCCCTAGTGCCGAACCTGAGTCAACGACAAAGACTGAGGCAGGAGAGGCGGAGGAGGTTGAAACGAGCACCAACTTGGCGGAAGAGGAGACATCCACGCAGCAATTCTCCAGCACTACCACCTCCCCTGAATCAGAAACAACTACACAGCCGGCAAACTCGACTAGCACAACCAACACTGCAACCAACAGCAGCACAACAGCAGCTGCCAACACAACGAAGGCTGCTGACACAACTACCACCTCTGGCAGAGCTGGTGCCACCTCTACTACTAAGAATCCGAAGACCAGTACTACCAAGGCAACAACCTCTGCAAGTACTTCATCCAGCACCAACTCTGGCACCTCCACATCGGCAACCACAACTGGCGTGGCTCAGGGAAAAAGTTTCACAACGACAACCACCTCCACGACCACGTCAGTGACCACGTCTACCAGCACCACTGTGAAGACTACTACCACAAGTACTTCAACCGTCACTGCGCCAGCCACAACGACAGATCGTGTGCTTCAACAATGTGAAGGCCCCTTCCTTGCGTGTGATCCGTCAGTGGCAGACCCTTGCAAGTCCCAAACGCCATGTGGGACCCTGAGATGAGAGGCATTTGTCCAGCTTTGTCGAAATGTTGCAGTTTGTTTTGCAGTGCTTGTGGCGATGTTGAGGTACGGGCTACCAGATGTGCCAGGAAGGCGTCTTCAAACCATGCGTCGACTACACAGCTGGAGAGCAAAGTGGCTGTGAGCTCTCCCAGGACCGCTCAAACCATTGATATAGGACGCGATACATTGTCTAGAAGCAGCTTCACGTGTGGCATGCGAATTGATCATGTTGCAGGACGTGTGTGATGGGACCAAATTGCACCCACTCTCTTTTGTACAATTGACTCTCGAGTCTGCAGCGGTAACTTGAATGCCTCAACCTCAGCTGCAAAGTTGCCAGGGAAGTGGTGGACTTGAAGCATGCTGTCACCAGGTGAGTAGCCAACAGGCAGTGCTTAACAGAGACATGAGCGGAAGGCCGTGCGAATAGTTGATTTGTTACCCACCCATCATGTCTTGACTTGCGAATTATTGTAAGAGTGGAGCAGCAAAGCAACAGTAGCAAACAAAGGCAGTAACTTAGGCCCGCGCCAAAACAATGGTGGGAAGTACCGAACCATGCCAAGGTTGCTTCGTTGACTCTTGCGTGGCTGTGGGCCTTGCTCTCATTGACAAATTCAACCAACCAACAGATTGGTTGATGTCCAGGGCCACATGAGACCAGGACGGTAGGTGAGTTTTACTAGACAAACAGATGTGGCACGGTAAAGTCCAAAAAAGTCCGTTTGCACAAGTGAAGGTGTAGTGGAAGTCGTTTGTGGTACCTTGATTCGCGTCCAGCATTGCGTGAATCAAATGAACGTTCCACACATTTTCAAGTCTTCTTGGCTAGGTGAGTCGTGTAGAAGGTAGAGGGCAGCTTGACGCCACGCAGCCCCAGTGACAATGCAGATGCCGAGACTTAGAGTACACTTCAATGCGAGCCTGGCTTGCGACTGTCGCAAAACAAAAGGGAAAAGGAAAGAGTAGTGGCGCATGGTCAATGTGCTGTCTCAAGCAGATGAACAGTTTGCTGTTTGGGGCTTAGATGTTGGCATCAGACTGTTGACTCAATGTTTCAACCTGGTGTTTGTTTTAGAACTGTAAGTTATTCTTGGCTTTGGCTCTGACAGCAGAGCATCTCCGGTGGCAGCTCTCACCGGGGAAATGTCGCTGGGCAGCATTCTTGTTGCTGTATGTTAGTCGTCATGTGTTTCATTGAGTTGGGCTTTTGCTACGACGGCGGTGGTTCAAATTACAGGCGCAGTAAGCATACTGAATCAGTTGGCTGAACGGTTTCCCATGCCATACTTATACGTATTGGGGGCTTGGTGGGGCAGGACCGGACGTTGGATGACGTGATGATATGATCATTTTCTGTACTATATGTGTTTATATTGCCTGTAGGCGCACCACAACCGACTTGCACCTGAAGCTTGACGATGTCCCCAACAATATTATATAACATAATCTCAAGCTTGTATGCTCAAGCACAGGCATTGATTCCATGAATGCGGATTCTCAGATTTGGTTGATGAGTCAGCTCTGGTAAGTCATGGCCACCCCAGAAGGATTGCTGACATTAGCAGGCACTGACCACATGTGGTTCTTCTTTCCGCGCTCCCAGAATTAAGTTGTAGCACTAGGCAGTCACTAGCAGCACATGTGTTCAAACAGATTGATTCAAGGAAGCATCCCCCTGGCACAAGCCCAGGCTCCGTTTCATTTGGCCCTGCTACAGCGATTTGCTTCGTAGATAGCTTGGCACCAGCACGGTCAATTTCTCGAGGCGGGTTGTGCATGTAGTGGGAGGCAACGCAGCGTTTTTTGGTCTAGTTTGGCCTTTTTGTTGCTTGTCACAAATGCAAAATGGAGACTGATAGATTCGCGTGAAAATGTGTCAGCAGTTGCGTTGCATTTGCAAACGAAAGTGGGACAGAATCACCAAGCATTGACTGACAACATGAATGAAGGAAAGGAGGACAGTTCTAAGTTCTTGTCCTTTCCTGACCAAATTGTCGCCGTCCCACAGGTAAGTCCTTGAGTTCCATGGCACGGGCCATAGCGCTACAGCATTGTGACACACATTCCATTCCTCAATTGACGGACTAGACAGGACATGGTATTGGGAAAGGTGTATATATATATAATATAGGATCCCCGTTGCTACCGACTGAGAAAAATGAGTGTGGTTAAGCATGGAAAAGCACGGAAAACCCTGTTTATTTAGCTCATTCAGCTTAAGGCTTAAGGCTTGTCTAAAATTGGTCTTAAATAAAGTGGATGGCAGCGACACATAGCTTGTCAAGTTAGCAAGCTTTTGCGGCATAACAATTTGAAGGCAGCATAACCCATTTTGTTTAACGTCAGTCTGAGCTATAATATGATGATGCAACAGCTGTTTCATTGAGGTTGACAATCTATATAAAGAAAAGAATCAAGAATGTAAAGAACAAGTTATTGGACGTCATGAAAACGCATAACAAAGATATCAAGGACACTTCAAGGCCCGAAGCTTTTTTCCTCAAATATGTTTCTTGGATGTTCTGTTTTCCTTGTATATCTAAGTTTATGATGTACGCTAAAGCTAGTCCTGATGACACAGCAAAACATACATAAAAAAATGCATAAACAATGCAAACATAATGCAAAACCAATCCCGAAAAAAATGCACAGAAAACGCAAAAACAAGTCACCAAAGGATGCCTTGGAATGCAAAAAAACGCAAACAATTGCGAAAAAAGACGCATTTGTCCACTAAACAAATGCAAAAAAACGCACCAAAAATGCAAAAAACATGCACCAAAAAGGCAACAAACATGCACAAAAAATGCAACAAAAATGCAATCAAAAAGCAAAACAAATGCGATCAAAAACGTTCTGGTCTTTGCCTTTGCATTTTTTTGCTTTGTATTTGCGTTGTTTTTTTTGGCGTTTTTTTTTGGCATTTTTTGTGCGGGTCCTTGAGAAAATGCAAAAAAATACGCAAAAACGCACAAAAAACGCACAAAAAATGCAAAAAACATCGCACATAAAACACACAAACATCGAAAAACACATCGCAAAAAAAAGGTGGTGTGTGAAATTTGGTTGTGCATGTGCATTTTTTTTGCATTGTTTGGGCGTTTTTTTTTTTTTTTTTTTTGAACTGCTGTTCTGCATGTGTTTTGCCTTTTATTTTTTCTGGCTTCCTTTTGCATGTTTTTTTGCTTTTTGATATGCACTCTTTTTGACCAGCTGCTTTTTTTTTTGCTTTTTTATGCATTTCTTTTGCATTTCCTGGTCATCCTTTGTGAGTGTGGTTTTGCATTTGTTTTGCTTTTTTATGAATCCTTGAGATTGATTTCAGAGTTAGGCTGTAAGGTACATCATAAATCTAAGTTTGTGTTGCATCAGGAACGCTGAGCGGCTCCGGGGCAAACATATATTATTGAGTCCCAGAAATCATCAACAAATGTCTGGACAAAAGCCAAGCAGAACTCAACATGACCGTTACTTTTGAATTCAATTTATCTAGAGTTTTTGGCGTGGCTTGTGGGGACATGTTCTAGATTTTGCACCGGTTTTTGGCCTCAGAAACCCTGCCAAAAAACAGTCAAAGAGAGCGAGAAGATCTCAGCCACAGAACAAAATTATCAGAAAACGCAATCCTGAGAGCAAAGCTGTGTGATACCAACAAGTTTTTCCCAAGCCACACGTGAAACACTAACCCAACAGCACACCCAAAATGTACAAGACCACCAAACCAATGCAAGAAACATGTTTCAATTTCTCAGCTGCTTCTCAAGCATCATAGTTGTTTTTGTGGAGCCACTGGTCCATATAAAAGGTTGGGTTTGGACAACATCTCTCGGTATGCTTTTTACTTAAATGCATTTTTTGGGCGGGACAGGGGGAAACTTTGGTCCAACCCCTACCTGTTGCTAATAAGCCACACCCAACCATAGCCTGGCAACTCCCCAAGCATCCCAAAACTGATCAATAAACTCCTCGAAACAAATCTCCAAAAAACAATCATTGTTCACTCTAATCCAAAAGCATCTATCAGAAAGCATTTGTCGTTTGGAACACCGCCTAGCAAAGATTGTTCTGAAACAAGGGTGTCGAGACGCTAGCCCGGAAGAAGTTGGCCAGGATTAGCCTTAAGAGCAGCCACTTGCAAACTTTCTTTATATAAATGATTTGAGTCCACTATACCCCACAAGAAGGATTGACAAAGTTGAAGCTTGCTGCTGCCATGATGTGCAATGTAGCCACACCGAACAACGACGAAGGGACCTTAGGACCTTAAAGAAACAATTATATATATACCTGAAAATTGCAATGCACAGACCTCTCAAAACTCAACAGTTGTATCGTATAACCAGCCCCTCAAAACGAAACCATCACCTACCACCCACTACTTAGTCACTACTCAAGAAGGGTGGGGCGTTCACTTGTGATGCCGAAATCGCGTCGTTTGTGACGCCGAAAATCACGTAGCTTGCGCCGATTTGCCCGTAGCCACCCCACCCCACCACACCCATGATGCTGGCAATTTGTGCGTAGGCATTTGCATGCTGCCCGCCCACAGTTCATTTTGCTGCCGTACTCACGCGCAGCGCTCGAACTGAGCAACCCCTCTTGCCTGCACAGTACGGCCACTTCGCGCAAAGCAGTGTTGAGTGCGTTCCTGGACAGGTTGGGGTAGGTACTGGCGTAAGCAAGCACCTTTCAATCAACATCGTTCGCGCAGGCGCCTTTTGACGCTGCGCAGACCCGCAAAGCTCCTGCGTCGCCATGTAGCTACCTTCCAATAGCCCACCCCAACCCAACCCAACCCACCCCGCTCCACCCATGATGCTGGTGTGATGATGTGGCCATGGGCCAATCATTCCAGTGGCCCACCCCACCCCACCCGGTGTGATGATGTGGGCATGGGATCATTCCAATAGCCCACTCCAACCCACCCCACAACCACCCCACCCATGATGCTGGTGATGCTGCTGTCGTCGCAAGTGCCCTTGAACATAATTGAAACAAATGGTGCTCAGTGTCGTTGCAAGTGACCCTTAAAATGGCTGGATACAGTCATTTATATACATTGCACACCCTTGTTTTCAGAACACTCGGAACAGCATGCTAGGTGACTATACGTGTGGCTTGGGAAAACTTGTTGGTATCACACAGTTTGATACAGTTTGGGCACTTCCCCTGTCGGCCAAGGCTTGAACGCCACAACCTTCTCCTCGATCGCATCCCGATGCTGCTGTGGCCCGGTGTCTTGCTTCTCTCGTCCATGCCGGCCTTGACCTTGATCTTACAGCGGAGGCGAGCCCACCTGCCCCTCCGTTTCGGCGGCTTGGGCTGCCCAACACCCCCGGCTCGCCGCTCACTGGGATTCGCTGCCGGTCTTGCAAGCTCGCATCCCGGGTGTGGCGGACCGGTTGGTGCAGCTGCTTAGCGGCGAGGTGCGCCCGCAGCCTCCAAGCATGCAGGCAGCCACTCACGCTGCCCACCTTCTTCGCAACAGTGGCTTTGACGCGCCTCTATGGCAACCGCCGAGCTTGACCTCGATCCTCCATTTCGCTCCTTCTGTCCCATGCCGGCCCGAATAGCAGCCGTGCCTTCACGGCCCTGCCTACCACCCCTGATATGCAGCTCGACAACGCGCAGTTCAGGGTCGCAGCGACGCCTGCCCGGCGCCAGCGGGCTGCGATTGTAGCCGGGCGCTGGAAACCCTCAGCGACTGCTGCGCGGCGTGCGCCGCCGCCGGGGTCCTCCGCGCCCGCGCCCTCCCTCTTGAGCGCGTTGTAGCCCGGGCCGCGAAGCCGGCGCCCACGACGTGGCCGTCAACGTGCCCCTAGTGCCTGTCGCATACTCTTGACTCTCGACAAGGCAAAAGGTCTCCCTCTCTGGGATGGGGAACAGCTGCCGCTGAACACAATCAACTCTGGTGAGCCCTCTCAGTCGGAACGGGCAGGTGTGCCACTCTTCGGACGCCCGCCCAGGCAGTGTCCTACACCACGCCACGCGGCGCAGACCTACCCCAAATTCAGCAATTCGCGGTTGGTGTAAGCCGTTGTTTGGTGTAAACCGTGACCGTGATTTGGTGTAGTGTAGGCCGTGGTTGGTGTAGACCATGGTTGGTGTAGACGGCGGTTGGTGCAAGCATGTGTAAGCCGTAGTTAGTGTAATCCGTGGTTGGTGTAGACCGTGGAAGGTGGTTTGTGTAAACCGTGGTTTGGTGTAGACGGTGGTTGGTGTAAAACGTGGTGCGGTGTAAACATGGTTGGTGTAAACCGTGGTTTGGCGTAAACCATGATTTGGTGCAAGCCGTGATTGGTGTAAACCGTGGTTGGTGTAGACGGTGGTTGGTGTAAACCGTGGTTGGTGCAAACCGATCAGCAGCAGCAGCTGCAGCACCAGCACCGGGGTCTGGGCATTGAAAATAACATGCAGCAGCTCAGCCCCCTCCAGCGCACAAAAAATCAGAGTTTTATTTAAAAAATGCTGTCTGTGTTTGGGAGATATGAACCTTGACTCCAAAGAATCTATTTTGGAATGTGAGGCTGATGCTGGAGAAGTTTTTTCAAAATAACATCGGTCGTGATGCAATGGCTTTGAACCTCAGCACTGGCTGATTCTATTTCCCATATCTTGGATAGTCAGGGACGCTTCAAAAGCAAGCGCTTTCAACTTGGGATGAATTTCCACTAAATAGTTTTGAGTTTCCACTACAAAACAATGGCTGCGCGATGCAAGTCGTCCCAGTCATTAGTCATTAGTTCAAAACGATGGCGTCCCAACCCTGCCCAGAGAAATCTCCATGAAGCATAGCGTGAAAATAGCATGTGGGAAGGCATAGTCAGAGAAGTCTTTTGTGGGTGGAGGCTGAAGATGCACAGATGTTATTTGATTTACAGTAATTGCTGCATGGCACCAAGCCAGCCCCTCACAAAAGCCACCCAGCCCAGCCAGAAAGCATTAGAATAAGAATTGGTTAGCAGACTGAAA